GATTTTTTTGTCCAGAAAATTAGGGTTGAATATATCTATTAAGGTAAAAGCAAAAGCAAAACCAATATGAGAGCAATACTAATATGGCACCACTGGATTCTGACAATGAAGACAGAAGGTAGTTGGACAGTTATTTTCTTTGGATATTTCTCTGGATATTTATTGCTTCATTTTTAAATCCCCATAATGGTTTATATGGAGGGAGGTGGGATTAACTAAAGTAATTTAGGTTGGTATAGCTGGGACACTAAGTACTGGGGCCTTGTAGAGGAGTGAAGGGGCCTTGTGGCCAATGAATCCAAAGCTACCTTTAATCTGCCTCCATAATGACCCATTCTAGCAAGGTGGCTCACTTTGGTCAGAACACCACCACCAATTGATCTAGAGTTTTTCATGGGTGTAGATGGGGCCTCTAATATTGATGTGTTCCTGCAACCAATTAAAAAAGCTCTGCCTGCAGCCTGATACTTCTTACACATCCTAATCCTCCCATCCAATTAATATAGGGGTTAAGATTGTGCTGTATATTTATATTCTCCAATTTTGTTTAATTTAACATATTTGTTGGAAACAAAAATAATGCTATCAGCAGTGAATTAACCTTGTTGAAATCCATCTGCAGTCTCAGTTATATTGGTCAATCAGTTGCAAAAACACAATTGGATGTTAATTTCTATAAATGTTTCTGATTTCAGACATGATAGATAAGAAAGAAATATTTCTGTTATTCACACCCATGACCAGCTCTTCACTCCATACTGACAAAGGCAGCTCATAGACAGTGATCCCATGAACTCTATGAAGTAAGTTGGAACATGATATGATGAGTACTGTGATGCTGCACAAAAAGCTTTGTGAATAAATGAAATGTCTAATCTAGGTGTTAATTTATTATAACACATTTTGGAAGACCAGAACCAAGGTGAAATTAAATCATGTTTTTCCTAAAGCCAGAGCTTGGAAGTAACAGGCTGCATGCAATGTAGTTACTTCTTGAAAGATGAATTACAGTGGAGAGTTTAATAAGGGGGTAATACAGTAACAGTACATGTCAAATGTACCAAGTGTGAATGAAGTTACTTTATTAATGCAATGAGTAACACTTTTAACGTTTTTATTTAGATTTTAGAGGCATTTTGACAGAAATTTTTCAAGTTTTGTATCCTTGATTTTTCACTCCTTGTCTTCACACTAAAATGTAATGAAAAATAATGAACTATGCTACAACTTATTTTTTAAAACACTGTAATGTCTAATGGAGAGCCAGCATAGTTCAGTAGTTTGAACACTGGACTGTGACTCTGGAAACCAGGGTTCAAATCCATGCTCAGCCATGGAAACCCACTAGTTGAACTTGGCCAAGATGCAATCTCTCAGCTTCAGAGGCAGGCAAAGGCAAACTTCCTGTGAACAAATCTTGCCAAGAAAATCCCATGATAGGTTTGTCTTATGCTCACAATAAGTTGGAAATGACTTGAAGTCACACCAAATATAATGACAATGGGTTACTTTTAATGCACGGTAACAAACAATAGGGAAAATAGTCTTTAAAAGTAACATTTCAAGTTCTGCCTAAAATAATCACAGCTTCTGTTGGGAATTCTTTTGCTTCCATATTAATTTAGCAGCCACATGAAGCTAATTAATTGTTGTTTTCCAGTTAACAAACTGTCTGGAATACTATTGCCATCTAATATAAAAAACAAAACAAAAACAAATGGCAAGTACAAATGAACTTCCACAACCTTTGTGGAAACTTAGATTTAGAATATTTCATAGTTACAGTTGGGAATGTTATCTTAAGTACATATTTGTGGCATAGATCAGCAGTAACACTGTCCCCTTTCCAAATTATAGTATAAAGTGTTTCACTCAACTCTAGCAGCATTCCATAGTAACTGGGGAATGAAGGAAATTAAATAAAAGAGTTATATGGGTTTTGTTACATTCAGGGGGACATATGAACAAAAAATGAGGCCATCTGGAATATCAACCTAACGGTCTATAACTTTTTCTGTTCCAAATAGAACATAGACATCATTCATATTTTTCTCTTATTAATAGCATTTTGATAGTTCCATTGTAAAGCTTGTCCTTGATATGCCTTGAAATATCATAGCTGGCTTGCTTATTACAGAATGTTACTTTAATTTCCAAGGTGAAACATTCACATACCAGGTATAGTGGGGAAATATGGCCCAAACAATTACACTTACCTTTACTTTTTAAATGCCTCATAGAAAAGATTGTTACACTTTTTGCTGATGCTTGGGTTGACCTAGACAGTAAATGATACATGACCTTAAAATGTCTGAGATAGCCTTGTTTTAGAAATTTTAGTATAGTGTTATTAAATGTCACAGTAAATTACACAGGCATAGCCTGGTTTATGTGTTTGCATTATCTTGCTCTGTGTTTCTCAGTTCCTGTATTCTCATTGTAACTTATCTTCTAATTTTTACATTTTTTTGGTGGTTCTCTGTTAACATTGGCTTATTTTTTTGATTCCTAAATAATTAAATGGCAATCATCAACAAATGGTACATGATTATCATTTATTGAATGGTAAGCCCCTTCCCCTTCCAAAGATCTCCATCTATCCTCAGATTTACACTCCGAAGGTACAAAGGAAAGATACTGAGATTAGTCATAGGGCCTCTACAGATGGCTCTGGGCTGTTTCTGCTAGTGGCGAATCGGGGTCACGGCAACCCCACACTGTGGCCTTGTTCCTCCCTTTTGCCACCCCCAAAAGAGTGGCAAAATGTTGCTCCTTTTGGGGGTGGCAAATGGCTGCCCTAAGAGCCGGTGCTGCAGCTTTTCCACACCCTTTCAGTGCGGCGAATATAGACGCTGCACCAGGAGGGCATCCTGATGCCGCACACTGGGCAAACAGTGTTAGGATGGTGTTGGAACGGAGTTGGGGCAGCTGGCATGTGGCTGCCCTGCCCCAATTTCACCCCCAGGCCAGCCCTTTAGGACGGTCTGCAACACCCATTATTGCCAGTTACATAGGGCTCATTCCCACTACAAAATAACCTGGTGTGGAAATTGGGTTATTTTGTGATCAAATTTCTCTGGGGCCATTTACTCCCCTTTTACTCCCCTTTGTCGTTCACAAGGGGGGGGGGAGGAAGAACAGCTGCCATGGTGAGAGAAAGAGGAGAAGAGGAAAGAAAAGGCAAACTCCTTCTGAACAAGCCTTGCTAAGTTGGAAATGATTTGAAGGCACACAACAACAAGAAATAGAGGAGGGATTGTGGCATGCCAGGAAGGCTTGGGCCCCCGTGGCTCCTCCTCCACCTTCTCCAGATGGGTTGCCCTCTGGTGCATCCATAGGCTGGCAAGGAAAGGGGTGTGTGTGTTGTGTGCCCAAAGGCTGGCAAGAAGAAGAGGAGCATGTGTGTGTGTGTGTCGTGTCTCTAAAGACTGGCAAGGAAAGGAGGTGTGTGTGTGTGTGTTGTGTGTCCAAAGGCTGACAAGGAAAGGTTGAGCATGTGTGTGTGTTGTCTCTCCAAAGGCTGGCAAGGAAAGGAGGAGTGTGTGTGTGTGTATGTGTGTGTTGTCTCTCCAAAGGCTGGCAAGAAAAGAGAAGCCGCAAGAGCTGGCACAACCCCCAGAGCACCAGGGCTGTCACTGGGGCTGGCTGAAAGAAGCTCTCTGGCTGAAAGAAGCCCACAGTGTGAATCATCATCCCCCCTTGTTGAACACAGCTCAGATTTGGGTCTTGTCAAAACAACCCCCAAAAAACTAGTGTTAGGAAAGAGCTGTTCTTTTGCATTTGTCTCGCTTCATTACAATTTAAACTGAGCACAGTAGAATCCAAACCGGTTTCAGGTGGGAATGATGGACATATAACCCAATCAGCAATTCAGGTTAAATCCTAGTGGGAACAAGGCCATACTTTCATTAGAAGGCCAGCAATTTCACAGTTGAGGTCTTTAAAAGCTCTGGGATGCCACCTGAACCTAATGGTTTGTTAGCATTTAATTTTTATATAGAGAGGTGAAAAAGATAAAAGATTTGTGTCCTAGTGCTAATTTTCAGGGTTAGAAGGCATTTATAGAGTATCTTCGCTCCCTCTTACCTTGATTCAGGGCCAGAAATGTAGCTTTGAAACAGGTGAAGTCAGTACTAAATGTTCTAATACACAACAGGGATGTTAGACTACAAGCCTAAAATTCCAAGTGGGAAAGAATGACAAGTCTCAGAATTCCAGTAAAAAAAAAACAGTATTGCATCATTTCCATTGAGGAGAAGTTCTTACACAACAGTATAGATAGCACTAAAGTTTTGAAGTTTTTTTTACTGCATCCCAAACCTTTCCTATGTGAACCTCTCTTGTGACATCAGGCCCATCATGGCCTGTGTGCTGCTATTTTTGAGGACATTCCTGTATGATCTGTTTAAGTTGGACAGATGAGCCTGCTGCTCCACAATCCCAGTCCCACATGCAGATTCATTGTGTACAGATTAAACATACTTAAAGGCCTAATGTTGGAGAATTGGCATGGTGTGACGGTTTGACTGTTGGGCTAGGACTCTTGGAGATGAGGTTTTAAATCTCCACTGAGCCATGGAAACCCACTGGCTGTCTCTGAGCAAGTCAGATTCTCTCTGCTTTAGAAGAAGGCAATGGCAAACCTTCTCTTGCTAAGAAAACCCCATGATGGAGTTTCCTTAGGGTCTCCATAAGTCAGAAATTACTTCACGGTACTGAACAACAGCAGCAGGAACAATAACAACAACAACAACAAACTGGAACAGAGATGGGAATTGTCAGCCCTCCAGATGTTAAACTACAACTCTAAGCAGTCCTAGCTTGCAAAGACAATGATAAGGAGTACTGGGAAGTAAAGTTCAACACAATCTGAAAGGCTACATGATCCCCATCCCAGGCAAGACTGAAAGCCATGGTAAAAGAAGCAGATGGTGATGTGTGTTTGTCTGGAAAGATTTGATGGCAATCATCACAGCAATTCCTCTTAAGGCGTGCATGAATATGTGCACACACAGAGAGAAAGAGAGAGAGAGTTATAAAACAAAGTTGTGTAGACCATGCAGTCTCTCCTGCATTCCCTAGACTAGTTTGATGCCCATGGGTGTGGTGGAGGATGCATTGAAGTCAAGTCAATTGACTTCAGTCACTGACTGGAAAAATAAGACTCAACCACTAATTGAATTGTACCATCTTGTGCTCAGCAGCAAAATTTCTTGGGTTGACTCTCCTTCTGTTTAGTCACTATTTGTAGTTGTTATGTGCTTTCAAGTCATTTCTGACTTGTGGTGACCCTAACACGAACCTATCACAGGCTGTTCTTGGCAAGATTTCTTCGAGGAGGGTGTTGCTATTGCCTTCCTCTGAGGCTGAGAGAGTGTGATTTGTCCAAGTTCACCCAGTGGGTTTCCATGGCTAAGCAGGAATTTGAACCCTCGTTTACTAGTGTCCCAGTTCAACAATCAAACCATAATACCATGCTAGCTCTCTTAGTATTACTGCTAATTAAACAAAGAACAGCATAAACTGAATTGATCACTAAAGGTACTAGATAAAACTATAACAACTAAAGCTTTCATTAATCTCAAGGATATCTCAGAGTGTGAAACATATATATATATATATATATATATATATATATATATATATTGCTGCTTTGGAATCCTTTGTTTGTGAAATTATGTTTGTTTTTGTGTAGTATATAATCTGCATTTACTTATAAAAGGAAAGGGCTATGAACTCATCAAAAAAAAAAAAAGGGGGGAGGGAGAAGGAAAATTGACTGCCAGTTTCTTTGGGAAGTCTGACACACATTAATCTACTCTGTATCCTGTAGACAATTTCTTTCATCAGTGATAAAAGCTGCCCTGTATTTGAGGACCTAAAATTACTTACACTCTCACAGTGTGGCATAAACCATTAGGTAGTAAGTCAGCTACAAAGCCAAAAGGAAAAAGAAAAAAAAACACAAAACAGTGAGGTTCAGAGAAAACAGATTTCTGATTAGGCATCAAAGAAAGGGGAAATAATTGCTCATTTATTTAAATAAGCTTAGCTTTTGATTGAAACATACACCTCTGGAGAACTTTTAGCCTGCAGTGTTGAATAGCTTGTTGAAGAGCTAATAATCAAAATCTACAAATGTATATAGAGTACTTGAAAAATGTTACTTTGTTTATCTCCAACATGCTTCCTTCCCCACCACTGCCTTAAAATATTTCCATGACACATTTTCATAGCTTACAGTTGAAAAAACAGTTCTGTTAACAAAATGCATATTTTTCCTCTGGTTTTGTACATTCTATATATTATCTTTCAAGTCTGCATTGCATTAAGT